CTTGGACTTAAAAATTAGCCTTACAGCAGCGTTTTGCAACACAGCTGGAATTTTAGACACTTACGTTATGCTTAATTTATCTACAAGTTAATGTAGAGTAATAAAGAAATCCGATACCAAGTACGGGGGAAGCTGGAGGATCAGACATCTGTTTTAGTGAGCTGCTTTCTTATTGTTGAGCAAATTTGACACACTGCTTAGAGGTGTATAAAGTGTGTAAATTGTACTCAATTAAAATGTATAACTAAAACTGAGCTACTGCACTGGCTGTAGTTTATTGAACAGTAGAATGATACTAGCATGGGAATCAGATATCAAATTGGCTGTTTCTATTAAACATCATGTGTCAGAACTCTGTGCTGTTTCTTAAGTACAAGGTGAACGACATGAAACAGGTTAAAACAAGATGAAAACTGGTTTGAAGTCTGCTATTGGGCTCCTGTACTGTCAACAGGTGATTATTTCTTTTAGTAGCAAGGTTGTAGGGGCCAGTAGATATATCTGAAGTAATGATTTTATATTAAAAACTAAAATACCTTTGATTTATACTGTTTGAGCTTTCTGAATGGTACCCTGAACAAAGCAAAGGGGGACTTTTTTGTAAGGTAAAGCAGGGCAACCACGGGGACTTGCATACCTGAAGAAATAGCAGAGCAGCATCCCCAGTTGAGTATGCTCAGCTATTTAGTTATTACCTGGAAATTCTTGTGGCAACACAGTTTCACAAATAGGTACTAAAGTCAGTGCTTGAGCCAGACAATTTATAGAACTGTTCTGCAATGCTGTAAACCTTCTGTTTCTGAATACAGAAGAAAATGTGGATAGCAGATTGTATGTTAAGTTGCCCTTGGTCATAAGTTGAACTATGATGTGATATTTGACAGATAAGCCTTTATCAGAACAGCCAATTTGGTTTTGGCTTTCATTTGATATGCAGTCAGTGTATAAAATATTACCATTCTCTGCAGGCACCTGCAAAAGTGAGTTTGATTAGTACAGTTTTCATTCTTTCGCTGGTGAAATATGCACTTAGTTGCTAATTCTTGTGAACGCTGTATGAAAAAAAGCCGGTCAAAATTAATGGCTTTTTGTTTTTAAAATTTAATGTCATGAATGCATTTTAATTCAAAAGCCATAACTAATGCCAAGTACTTTATTAGAGCAATGTGTTCATGAAAAATTAAAATCCATGCCTGAAGAAACTGTTGGCCAAGTAGGTTACACTTAACTCATTTGTGGAAAAATGTGCCACAATCTGGAGTCTCTGAATGTCAGATTCTGAGTTGCTCATTTGTTCCTTAACTGATATTTTTGAAAAGAGATGTCAGCTTTGCTTTCGTTTTCTGAACACTTAGTTACATACTTGAGTAATGATTGTGTAGTTTGCCTTTGGTTTGGTTTTGCCCTAAGACTGTTAACACGCTACAACAATTCTGAGGCAGTGACTGAAGACAGGTCACTGTAAGTATGAAGTCATTTAAGTGGAGCTCATGCATTTGACAAAGATGAAGATGGTTTCTTAATGGAACTGTGATCCAGTGGGTAACAATAAGTCCGTTGTTCAGCTACCATTGACTTGTCTGTAGATCATTCTTCTCACTAGTGATGCTACCATAGAGGGCAAGTCTGAGAATAATGAGATTTAATCAAGCAAAATACAGTGTAGGTAGTAGACAGTGGCAAACCGTGCATCCAGACTGATTTGCTGTGTTAATTTTTCTTTAAACAAAAATTTTATAATTGTTCTTTGCATTTGCATTCTTGTTAAAAAATCTCAAATGTTTGAAACTTTATTGCAGAGACTAGTTCACATGTAAAACTGAAAGACAGGAGGTGGTACATAAACCAAGATATTTTTCTTACAGATTGTATGGTTTTTATTTGCATCTGTAAATTCTTTTGCTCTAGTTTGGTTTAGTTCAAAGTCAGAAAAGCTGATTATTTGTTTCACAAGGTTCCTGCATGTTTCACTGAAAACTTTCAGAGGTAAATCTTTAGCTGCAGTTGCTTGAAGGTTTGATTAAATGAGTTTGTAGATTATAAATTCTGGCCTAACTGTCAGTGGACTCAAATTTTAACAGTGGTTTTGAAGGTTCAAGTTAAATCTTAAAAGAATCTGATGGGGACAGTCACTATTGACTGAAAGGAGAAGACAAACTTCTTATGAGGTTAAGCCTTTAAACTTACGTAACTGTCATAAACTTGTGTTTAATGACTTTCAATAAATCTTGAGGTTTTTTTATGTCTTGCCCCTTGACTTATTATTTAAGATCTGGACTATATTATTGACTTTTTTACAGAGTTACTAGTTTAGTCTTTCTAAATGCAATAGTTGGCTTAGCTGTGAAAGAAGCAACAAAAGAAAGCGTGTTTCTTTTGTTCTGATCAGTCAAGACCAATCCTGTAGTTCTGTAACACTGAATGGATTTTTATTGGTGAAATAGGATGTAAAAAATATCTGAAAGAAACTGCTTCAGGTTTTTCATTTGTTCCTGCCCTCTTAAAATCATACCCAGGAGACCCACCCAGCCCCTCATTACCTTCCCTGACTACTGTTTTCTGCTTTCTTCAAAACTGGACTGTTCCCAAACCTGTGAGCTTTCTGAGGACCTCAGCTCAGTGCACATCTGTGAATTGCATCTCTGCCCCATCTTGATCAGTGCACGAACAGGGTGAGTGAAGCACAAGCTCCTCCCTATTACGCATCGAAGAGTTGGTTACAAAATTTAAACTAAAAAAATAAAATACACAAGTATCACCTACTGAATACTTCATGATGCTTCTTTCTAGTTTAATTTTGACCTGTAGTAAAGAAGCTTTGAGATTTTGAACATAAAAATACTGAAGACAATACTAGTTTATTTCTTTAATTATTATTATGTGTCTGGTTATTCTCCAAAAATCTTTTACTGTAGATTTCTCCCATTACTACAGATAAGTATTAGGAGCAGAATGGTGAATGATCAACCTGAACCCTATCGAGCTGAGTCAGTCTTAACCTGAGACTGAGTGAAATCTAAACATTAATTACCCGACAGCCTTTGTTTGGCAGTTGGCAGATGATTTGGGGAGCAGCACACTAGTTTTCTTTGTTATTGATTTTGTAAGAGACAGATCTAATGTAACAAAGTTAGGAGCAGTGAAGAAAATAAAAACCTGGTACTTGTTTTTCAGATGCTGTTTAACACTTGTAATAGAGCCATTTACAATTCCATAAGAACCACAGCAATTAATACTAATCTCAAGAGCAGAAAGCATGGATTTGGTTGTTTTCTAGGGTTATGAGTTGCCGATGTATTTTGCAGCATGCCCTCAAAAAGTGCTCACAGAAAAAGATTGTGCAACTGAACAGCACCTCACCAACTGCCTTTTTGTATGTAGTGCGACATCTGGGCTGAGGCCTTCCTCAATTCAAGCGT